ACACACACACACACACACACACACACACACACACACACACACACACACTGCAGCAGTACGCATGCACACACCTTGATTCACACTCAAACCTCCAGTACTGCATATATTGCAATTAACATCTGTATATATTATATATACAACCCAGCATGCACACAGCAAACAGATTTTCAGGTCCCAAATTTCTTAAAATGTATATTCTTCTTATTTAAAACATGTACATCACGAAATTTGTACATGTCAAAAAAAAATTTTTATCCTGGCGATTTTGCTGTGTACATGCTAGACTGTACAAACATCAGTCTCATGCTTTCATTATTCTCTGTGACATTATCTTACTCACACACATGGTCACATTCTACAAAGACTAGATAAAAGTAATCAAACTAAAGGTAGCATAAGTATTCCTGATTTTAAAAAAAGTTCTGTTTGAAGTTGAAGCTTCTGTTTGGAGGTATTAAGTTATCATTGGAAATAAGATCAAGTTTTTTAATGGCACCAAAGACATTCCATAAGTAAAAGTGCAATATAATATTCACATTTTAATTATTTAGCTCAATTTTTTACTGCAAGTTTTATTTAGAAGAACAACACAAGAACATGTGAACTTGAAATAGCCCATTAAGGCAATTAAAGCACATAGCAAGGGAACAAAGAGGAGGCAACACCAAAAATATGAAAGACAAAGGTAGGCTGAGATGATAAAATGAAAAAGAGAATGGCTAAAACACAACATGCTATTATAATCACTGTATGATTGTTTTTGGTATCTACACTAAATCGTTGAATAAGTCAACTTACAGTATCCTTTGAAAGCCAACTAAACACCTCAAAAAGTTCAAGGTACTGCGACTTTTCATGTATGGAAATGTAGGTGGATGTCAGTGAAAATGGCAGCGTTTTCTTTTGAGGGGAGAGGTGGAATGTATGCTGTGAATTTCATTAATGAATAAATAAAAAAGAAAACCAAACATGTAATAACAATAAATACATATATAAACACATTAAATTGCACTTGCAAGATTTGGAACTATTTTGTGCAAATGGCGATCACAACCTTTATATGACACTCAAACAACTGAATGGAATCTAAATGATTCCAATATACATTAAATAATATATTCAGACAAACACAATGATTGTGATAGGTAGCAACAATTTTAAAACATGGCAAGAGGAAAAAAATGGTACAAAATCAGCTTAGAAAATATCCCTGAAGTTCATGGAACAAGCAACGGCTCTACAAAAATGTTTTCTGAATTTTATTGTTTAAGCTTCCTAGTCCCTGATATTTTCACTGAGAAAAAAAAATATCTAAAAGTTGTGAGTACAGGAAGAAACAAACAAGCTTTTAAGTTTTAAAAGCCTTTTGATCTAACCACAAGCCATTTGCAAAATATTAAACCTTTAACATAAGGGGATACTTCTTTTGCACAGTGTAAAAAGTGGTGTAAAATCAAACGCAAGAAAGCTTGGCATAAGCCATTTTGGCTGAATGAAATGACTTCGATCACATTAGTAGCAAAAATTTGACTACAAATGTTTATTTTGATCTTCCTCATTTAAAATTGGGTGCAGAAATGGAAAGAAAAACTTTTTTGGCACATTTGTTTTAACTTCTTTTAGACTTTCTAAAAAGAAATTCTTGAACTCTGCCACACATGTCTGCAACACGGTGCACATGTGCAATGTGGTCTCTATGAGTTAAAACAACAGCAGATCTGCTTTAGAACACATCAGTGTTAAAACTGAACACCTGAGGAGTAAAAATCTTAAGCAGCTGTTGGTTGATGAGTATGTAGGATGGACCGGCCATACCACATCCACTGGGTGCAATCAGCACGCCATGAGCCGGTCATCCTCAGAGTTGATGCTGCCCCGCGTTCCAGGGTTTATCACAGGTGACGGAGTAGTCACCTCTTCCACAACAACAACTGTGCCCAGCTTTGACGCTCGCCGACGTAGTATTATGACATACACTCTGGGGGGGGGGGGGGGGGGGGGGGACAAAAACAGTGCAAAAACAACATCAGAAAAACGAAAATAATCAGAGATGGCTGAAAGAAGAAAAATTAAATTTCATTGTTCTCAACATATGAGCATTATGACTTTTTTTTAAAGTTAGTTTTTGTAGAGGTTTTACGGCACTCGCAACTGTATAATGTCATATGAGCGGCAGAAGATTAGAGGTGTTACAAGAGAGTAAGAAACATAAAACAAATTAGAGGAGATAAGAACGATATATGTTTGATGAAAGAAGGAGCAAATCACACCAGATTATGACTTTTAAAAGTCCAAAAGCAAGAGAAGTTATACGGGCCGATAGATAACGGACTTCAAGAGTGATGTAATCGAAAAGAAGAAGGAGTCTAAAAGTATTTCAACACTTGTACTAAGGCGTATTCTTGTTTTGGTAAGCGCTTTATGGCACTTGCCACATAATTAGGTCACATAAGTGCCGGAGACTAGAGATGTTACAAGAGAGTAACAATCACAAAAAAAAGAGGAGGGATCAGGACAATAGATGTTTGATTGGAAAGAAGGAGCAAACTACACCAGAGCACCTACGACTACCCACGAAGTGTACACCGTAGCAACAAAATTCAAACAAAATGCATGGGGGGGGGGATAATTTCATCATTACTTTATGATAAGGATATGACATAAAGTTTCGCATGCACACAGCGAATAATGCACATAGCAAACAGATTTTCGCATCCTGAATTATTATTTTTTTTGTAGATATTTTTTGTATTTAAACATGTACAGAGTCAAATTCATTTATAAGGAAAGGGTTTCTGCATCCAGCCAATTTTGCTACATGCGTGCTAGACTGTACACTTTTAAAATTGAAAGTGTTGAAGAGTAAATTGAAACAATTGAGGCATACTTTAAGACATTGTGAAAGAATGTATCTTTTGTATCCACCCTTATTTGTAGAATTTTTTTTTTTATGTCTCAGAGAACAACAACACTAGCCCTTAACATTTCTCAGTCCAACAAACGGCTCTAATACACAAATAATTTACACTTAGACTTACTATATTAGATGCATACAATTCAATACACAAAGAAATCAATAATAAGCCTCTACTAGTTCTGGGTGTGAGGGCAAGAGTAAAAGCTCACAACATTGATAAGCAGAATTAGATACTTACCCCATAATCGCACTGGAGAGGAGGACACAGGAGCCAATGAAGCTGTAGGCCAGGCCGTGCCACAAGGCCACGGTGTGAGAGTAGAGCATGTTCACACCCACCCCAGACGCTGCCAAGGTGGCCACCTCGATGACGGCAACACTGGCAAACAGCGAACCTTTGGGCACAAGACGTAGAGGTATATAAGGGGTGGGGTGGGGTGGGGTGGAAGGTGGGTGGGAGTGGAAGGTAAGTAGTTTAAGAAAATATGAGACAATGTACTAGGGTTTACACTTCTTTTTCAGAGTACGGTATCATTATTATTTGGGATGCGATGCGGTGGAATTATGCGCTCGTCAAAATAATGAAAATGAAGAAACTGGCCTTTTTACGCAGGTTTGGGAATTTTTATAAAGTTTTTGTTTTTTGGCTCAGTACCTTTCGTGTCCATTTAAAAACACATTTCCGAGTGAATTTCACAGAAAAACGTTGATTAAAGGCACAAAATAGGTAATTTTATCATTTTCAGGGACTCTCAAGCTATTAAAATTGTCAAACTTTGACAGCCATTTTCTCGCTAATTTTACCACTGAAACAAAGCGACCCCACCTCTTTCAATCACTAATATCTTGACTTCTATTCAAGATAGATGGGTACTTCTGTCATCAAAAGCAACACAAATAAGCAAGCTTTATGATGATACCAATAACCTCATATGCCCAAAAATTGACGAGCGCCTGATTCCACCACGTTGTGACACATTTTTGTCGACATGGGGCAGGTTTAAGTCACCGTACAAGAGTAAGTAGTTTTAGACAATGTATGAGAGATAAGTGATTTTTCAAAGTAGGCCTACCATATTATTATTGCTTTTGTCCACATGAAGCAAGTTAAAACCTCGCACTAAATGCACATGAGAGTGTGTGAACTGCTTATTATCAAAATATTCCTCCTCCTTCAATGCATGGAATAATATCAAGAGGCTACCCAAGGATAGGGAGAGGTGGAAAGTATGTTCATGGCCTATACTCTGATCCAGGGTGAGAAAGGCATAGATGATGATGATTGATGATGATTCTTCTTTCCGACTTCTAAATGTAATTTACCAGAGATTTGAAATAATTCTAAAATGCAGCCGACTCTTTGGACATTGTCATTCTGTGATGTTGATTCTCAGAGTCTGTCTACCAATACATGTTCCACAAGAGTTTCAATATGATAATTGTTGTTTATGCTTAAGTGGTCTGGGATCATACCTCGTCTTTCTACTGGCACCATTCTGGAAAGGATTCCTCGAATAATAGGGAGAACCATCAACTCAAGCATTCCAATAGCAAAAGCTGTAAAGAAGAGAATGAAAAAGCAATTTTTGAAATTATATGTATGTAGCGACAACTCAGAGGAATTTCCATCTGGTCAGAATTCAGCCACAGATTTCCCAGATACACCTTGTTTGTTACTATACTGATATAACCTCCATCTTTTGGACAGTCCAACACTTGTCATGGTCAGACTGGATGCATTGATAGCTTACTTGGTATCATACTAGAGTACAGAGCCAATGGCACTGGTTCAAATCCACAATTGGGCATTCTGAACTTGGGTTAGTTTAGAGAGTTTTTAAGGCTCTCAGCCATAGTGAACTGTGGTACTACAGTAGGCCTACACTATGTTCTCAGTCAATTTGGCTAATTTTCTATCAGAGATGGATGTTAAAATATATATTTCCAAATAACTTTACAGTGTTGAAAGGGACATTAAACCTGTACAATAAATGATAACTATCAGAGTCTTCTCCCTTAGAGGTTTAGAGACCTAAAAACAAGAGTACACTATAATGACTATGAGGCACAAACAGCAGTTACAGAAAATTTCTACACACCAACCACTCCTTGGAATTGAACCCAAATATCTAAAACCTGAGTAATACAAACAACAACAGCAACCACAACAAAACAGCAACAGTTCATGACATTCCACAAGATCAGGAATATACTTAATATGATTGTATTTTTAACTGCATCTGCTGACAGTACAGAACTACTACAAAGTGCCCAGGAAGAGCAAAAAACCATTTCCCTGTGAATAAAAATTAGTATGACCAAAACCTTTCAATTGTTTTGTTTCAATCAGTGATGATTTTGTTAAAAGCAAACACAGGAATCCCCCCTATAATCCACAGTGCTTGCTAAATGAGTGTTCTTCTCTTCATCATTCATCTCAGAAAATCCTGAATTACAGAAGCCATGCAATTTTTGTTTTGTTTTGGTAAGAGTTTTACAGCACTAACAACACTAAGGTCATGTATTTGCCAAAGAGTAGAGGTGTAACAAAAGAGTAACAAACATCAATAAGAAGGAGGAGAGATAAGGGCACTAGATGTTTGATTGGAAAGAAGTAGCAAATTACACCACAGCACCTGCCAACCACACACTGCCATGCTATTTTTGGAAATATTTTTAGTTTATAATCACATGCCCAAGGCTTCATCTTACTTGATAGCCTATACATGTATGTCATGACTCCACAAAGCAATTATCAAGGTGTGCACTCAGGGAAACACACAAGACAAAAATAATGGGTAGCACAAAAAAACATTTTTGTCTAAAATTCTCTAAAATTGTCCTCACCGACATAGATCATCCAGTCATGGACAGACATGGCCAACATGATTCGACTCCCTGCCCCAGACAGTAGACTTAACACACAGATGACCTCATCACTGGTCACCTTCTGGAGCAGCGGCATCACTATGAGGGACGTAAAGCTTTGGAGCAGCCCCTGGAATGACATAACAGAGCTGCTGTTAGTTTCAGTTGAAGTAAGTGTTTTACAGCACTTGCAGCACAATAAGGTCATATAAGTGCCGAAGATTAGAGGTATAACAGGAGAGTGACAAACAAAACAGAAAGGGAGGGAGATAAGGATGATAGATACACCTTCCCCAAGGAGCTAACCTGTAAGGAAACAGAGTGTTAAACTTCAAAAGAGATCATAAACGAAAAGAAAAATTCAAGCATTGACAGACACAAAAGCAAAGATCAATACATGTACAAGTACATTTACCCAATAGCCTTGCCTACACTTGAAATTACCCAAGACAGACACCCATTGTTGAGGAGAAAAGTTGTTGTCTTGGACAGGTTTACACCTTTGACAGAGTCATTATATTTTTAAATAGCAAGGGAAAAAAGGGAAGTGCTCGCTTATATGAGTGATTGTCTTCGATAGGTGGTGTTAGAGCTGGTTCAACTGTTCTCAGCTGAAGTAACATAACAGAGACAGATCTACTACTTCACCTGGAATGTGGTCACATAACCAATCTTCTGAGATCCCCAACACAGCGGCTCGTCCATGAGGAACAGTGTCATGAACTGCGCACCGATGCACGTGCCAAACATGAAGAAGACAACTCCAAGTATAATGAAGTCTTCTCGCCTATACCTTGGGTTGTCGCTCTTGATGAAGTAAAAACTGAAGACGTTTTTCACAGCTGCAAGAGAGAAAAAACAAATCTAAACTAAGCATTTTTTACACTGAGAAAGTAAAAGTATAATGAAGTCCTCCTAGCCTATACTTTAGGGTGCCACTCTTGATGAAGTAAAAATTGAAAACATTTTTCACAAGAGCAAGTGAAAAATAAATCTAAATAAGGTTGGGTTTTTTTAGATTAAGTAAACAAAACTGGTATGCGGTACGTATGTTTTAATTGAAGTGTAAAACATTTTGGTGTCTATGAACTCTGGGGTATGAGAAAATATTTATGACTGGGGAGAAACATAGTTTAGAACCCAGTCAGTAATAACCCCACAAGGTCCAGCATGCTACAACCACACTTTCCTCATTACTGAAATGCCAGCTTTCATTTGCTGTCAGTTTGTTGCTTTGGTCATGAAACCTGGTAGTCTATTCCACCCACCACAGAAGAAGAAAAAGAAAAAGAAAACCTGAGAATCCTTAAACTGTGTTCAAGTTTTGGAGAATATCTCAAATATTCCAATCATTAATTAACACCTCTTTCTCATTGAAACCATTATCATGGCACGGGTAAAAAAAATACTGTTTAATGTATAATAAATTAATAAACATCAATGATCAAACTTGAAGCTGCCTGCAATAGGCCTACAAAGTAGGGAACAACCATCACACCAACTCCATCCATCCCTTCCCTTCTCCTTATTTTTCAAATATAAATTATATGAGTTATGGGAGACGGATGTCAGTGCTTGAGGCATCTGTTATCTTCTAGTTGGGGTTTGTCTCTATAATTACCTTCATTTGTTGACCTCAAAAGGATGGAATAAGGCTTAAGCGAAAATTTCCCTATTTACAAGTGTTACTGTGTAAATAATCAAGGCTGCAATCTTTGCTAAAAAAAAAATTGATACGTCGATAGTCTATCAAGACAATGACATGCTTAGAAAGGTGCTATTGGTAAGTATTTGAAGCCTTCAGTTTTTTCCCTGTAACCGTAAAAGTTTGAAAGTGGTATTTTCCTAAGTTATCTCACCCAATCAAAATTACAACTCAATACTGGCTCCAGGTCTACTTTGAAGCTAGTTTTAGTAAAAGTTTTACAGCACTTGCAATACAATAAGGTCATTGCCAAAGATTTGAGGTGTTACAAGAGAGCAAAACACAAAAAATAAGGAAGAGAGATAAGGAAGAGAGATAAGGAAGATAGATAAGGAAGAGAGATAAGGAAGAGAGATAAGGAAGATAGATGTTTGCTGATAAGAAAGGAGGAGCAAACCACACCAGAGCATAAACCAACCACCCGCAGGTCTATAAAAAGAAAAAAAAAGAAAAATATATAACATTTCTAAAAGGTTTCTATCTGAGACCTTCAGTTCTTTCTTTGCAGTTGTTGAAGTCTGAGTGGGGAATGGTCTCGTTCAAGCAGAAAATAAACCAGAGAAGGCCCAGGCTGGCGATGCATAGAGCCGTGACCATCGGCCAAATGTAACCCTCTTCCGTGATGAAATAGCCAACGGCCAGGTGAGTGCTGGAGAAGAACATGTTGATCACCACCTGGGAGGAAAAAGGCGTTATATAGTGACAACAATGTTTTTCTTTGTTTTGTTTTTAAACATTTTTTTTCATTTGTTTGCTGCCGTTGTTTTCTGGATGAGGTTGGGGGTTTTTTTTGCCGTTGTTGTTGTTGTTGTTTTTGTTTTGGAGGTGGGTTTTTTGGCAGGGGAGGTTGAGTTCAAGACTGATGCTGAACAGCGATTTTTCTTCTTCTTCTTCTTCTTCTTCTTCTTCTTCTTCTTCTTCTTCTTCTTCTT